TAACAGCAACAGATCACGCCGAATGATGAAAGATGACGACCACTTGCGCTTGTGTGAACTGACAACCAAGGATTTTGGCGTGGTGAGCTATGATTTTTCCAGTTGATTAAGTTCTCCGGTTAAAGCTTGACAAAGAACACACGTGATCCACTGCGGTATATTGGACGTCAGCAAGGCCTGGCAGACATTGATGAACGAGTATGTCCACACGAATCCGTCTCACCGCTTCCAAATGACCCGCAGCCTTCCTCAAAATACGACGGTCGCCATGTCCACTTACGACCCAGAACCGCGAAAAACGGCCACCAAGTTTGATCACTACGACGTTCACATAACTTTTATAACAACGTACAATATCGGCCAAAACTTTCGCCCATCGGAGCCTTCACAAGTTGCCAGCATCGTGTCGACACTGGAAAGCCCGTGTCGCCGGCTGTGCACCGCGCACTCTCCCCAGCTACTCTCTCAGATCTGACAGCGCCCAAGGGGGCGAGAGAGCGTCGGTGGTCTGAGTCCATTTTCAGGCCCTGACGGGCGCCACGACACGTTTCAATTCGCGCCTCGGCCGCAGCAACGGGCGATACCCCCACTGTTGGTGTGAACCGATCAAAACAGTCGCTGGCCCTCATTTCTCTGCCCGATCGGTACCATGGGTTCGAGGCCGACCGCTTCGGTGATCCGGTGCCGGACGCGTTCTATCCCCCGTCCGTGACAGCCGCGCTAAAGATAGGGTCGCCAACTGCGTGCAACGTCCCCCCACCCACCCCCACCCCCAGCCGGCGGCGGAGGCGCGGGCCCCAGCTGCGTACGGGGGCGGCCGGTCGATATCCCCAGCACAAACCGGGGCAGGGTCGGTGGCGGGTGGCGCATCAGGAGAGAGTCGCGTCGTCATCAGCCGGCCAGCATGGCGGCCAGTGACGCACGCAGCCTGAGTGCAGACGACCGGAGAGCCAGCCGAGCCGACCGTCACTGGCGTCGGTCGGAGGCGGCCGACACCGGCGCGCGGCCGGCAGTGGCTCAGAACACGCCCGCCGCAGGTTCACACTTCGACTCGCTCCAGCCGACTGGGGACGCAGCTCCCGACGGCGCTTCCCCAGCAATCCACCGCGTCCAGCAGCAGATGCTTTCTTCAGTAATATTTTCAAGCATATTCCCAAACAGATGTTCTCTTCCGTTTGTTCAGAGCAAGCTGCACGCGATGTCGCTTAATTTTTGGAACGATACACTGATGTCATACTGGATTTACACCTATCACGTCTTGGTTGGTACCTCGTGACTGCCGCTGGGCGCCGAGCGCGTACGTGACGCGGCAAATCTGATAGACGGTGACGGGGAACAAGTCACCGTGTTGTTATTCAGCTTCACGGGCCGAATAATAGTCACATGACGCCCACAAAGATCCTTCTGATTTGTCTGCCAATGATATTTTTAGTCAATGATGTTTCTGGGAGTAAACAAAAACACGAGCCTTAAGACCTGCCTCAAGGATTGGTCGACCGCGACAGGTAACATTACTACCTAAGCTCCAGTATCGGTATTTCGTCTAAGGTCCGTCCGGAACTGGCTTAGGAACTGGCTTAGAAGTCTTAACCACCAAGGCGGCCGCGTCAAGCCGGATCGGGATGTCCACAAAATCCAATCACCGCAAAATCCTGACGTCAAATCCAAGACGACGAAAGAAAGCGGCGGGCCATTCCCTCGTCAACTGAAATCGGACCGAGGCGGCTCAAACCGAACCCGACCGTACGACCATTACAACGCCGCGACTCGGGTGCACATGTCCCAGCCGTGCGCCAGATCAGCCGCAGGCCGGGCCAGCCCGGTGCGCGTGATGCTGCATCGATCGCGGCAGCCGCGTGCCGTTTACCGGATGGTACGCTCGACCCCGCCAGACCACCATCACGCCACGATCGCGCCACGCGGTGACGCAGCGGCGGCGCCCCGACGGCGCCCCCGACGGCGCCACGGCGGACGGAGCGGTCCGCGTCCGCACAAGAGACAGGAGCCAGCGCGGTCAGAGCCGGCTCCCGCGGGAATGTCCGCTGATCGGATCCAGCCGCGTTCGGCCCGCCCCGCCGGGACGTAGTACTACAACAGGGTACGTAGTACCCCCCCCCCCCCACACACACACACCCTCGAGCTAACACTTCGCGTCTCACAGTAAGGCCACTGAGGCTTGGATTTGGCGGTAATTCAGGTCAGAGCCGCTGTTAGGACGGCACGTCTGGCGTCACTTTACGTGACAGCCGGCGCGACGGCGGAAGCCGGCATGAATCACGCGCCCCACTTCGCACTCCTCGTTTTTTGGCGTTCCGCGTGGGCGTCATGCCGACACTGTCCGCCGTGCATTCCCGACCGCAGCGCTAGCAGACCAGTGACGTCACAGACAGCACGTGCTGCCGCCCGGGGGCGAAGCGGTGTCGGGACCCAGAGTCCGGGTCTGCAGGGGAGGCTCCGGCCGTGACCAGCGGTGGCCCGCTGCGCCACGCGGCGCAGCCGCGAGTTAGTATTTTCAGCGTGGCGTTTCTGGCACGTCACGTGGCCGACCAGGTCAGCAGGATGGCGAGGGCCGGCGCCGCCGGGTGTCACACGGCGTTCGCGGCGGTCATGTGATGTCCAGACGCGCCGCCCGCGGTCCGGCGGATCACGCAGCATCGCGTGGCGTCCCGGTAGCTCAGATAAACGCAGGCAGGCCACGTGCGTCGGCGGCGAGCCGGGCCTGGAGGCGTGTCAGCGCCCGGCCCCCGCCTGAAGACCACCGCCGGCAGGCAGCTGACCGGACCCGCCCCCTGACGGGCTCCACCGGTGACGGCTTCGTCAGCCCCGCGTGCTGCCGTGCAGGCTTCTTCGAGCGTCATCGCCGAACAAACCGGTGACGAGTTTCCCGCAACGGTTCCAGGGGTAAACGCGTTCACAAAATCGCAACGGAATCCTCTTAAGAGCGGAATGTTAGTGCGCAATATGATGTATGTCTTTGAATCAGTTAAGGCACTAGGTTGTTGATATTCAACGCTCACCCTGTCTAATTCAATGATTCCACTATCATTGTAGGCTATCCTTTTCGTCTACGTTGAATTCCTCACGGCAAATCAGTTCCCGAACAATACGAAACATTTACTTTTTACTGCGTCCGAGTCAGACACTATACCTAATACCCAGAGACACATAACATAATAGTATGAATGTATAGCGCACAAAGACGCTCTGGCTAAGAGGAACAGCGGCCGGCTCTGATTGGCCGACATGCGTCACCGGACGCCGTGCGTTGTGCACTGCTCACCACCGAACCTACGCTACACTTCCTTGCAATCGTATTTGCCCACGGCACGCATTGCGCCGTCAGGTCCGCTCCCGCGGGTCGGTCGCTTCCGGCATCCGAGCGGACGTCCGCATACCACTCAACGCTGGTTCGGAGGAACGGCGACTGACGAAGGCACCGTCCATACAAGTCGTTCACGCAATTGAGTACCGTCGCCAATTCGTTACCGAGGAGAACAGACGGATGTTCGATAGTCGCACTGCCATTGGACGGAATCTTCCAACGGCGTACAACGATATTCGTCGGACGGGCTTTTGTACAGCAGGACGCGAGGAACTGACACTGATTTGCGAACAGTTTTGATATTGCGTTGTTTTAGGGCCTTGGATATTACAGGCACTTTGTTGCAAACGCACGTGACAAACAACTTGGCAGCGTTCCCCGTTGGATCATTTTCCGTCCCTTCTTGTTTTCGTTCGACGGCGAAATCTGTTGCCGATTTATTTTGGGACTGTATGACGTCACACCCACGATTGCGCAAGAATGACGTAAGGACACGTTGCCCAGGCAACGCCAGCGCTGTTTGATGAAAATGCGCGTTGCGTGCTGAGTCATCGTACGGAACTACGCAGTTAGCTGCGTCATCCTACAATGGCCCGCGACCATGGAAGCGCGCAGCTATGACGCAGCGTGGTGTGATATATGACGTCATCAGCTGCGTAAGTCCGTAAGAAGTGTGCTGGTGATAATTTTCAGCGGGACCATATTGTTTTCACTTTTCGAGTCAAGAACGACACAATTGCATCACAAAGCTTCGACCTTTGTTGTATCACGTGGTGGAGTGGCATAGAATAAGATCTGCAAACCTATGCAAGATTGTCTAGGGTGCCGCGAGCATCCCAGACAAAAGCGAGGACTTCACACAGAATGCAACACCACGGAGTCGGTCTGCTACAGGGATTCCGACCACCCGTAACACCTGAACGGACGGAGCGATAACCCCGGTCACCATCATGGGGCGACTTTTGCTGTCCTGTTTGCGTATTCATTACGGGACACAAAAACGTCATTAGTGGAAAAAATATGCTGCAAAATCACTCAATGAGCAGTTTTCTCGCTGGGCTGCTAGGTCCGCGAAAAACGTCACTACTCGTAGGAGCTCATGTCTGCCCTATTGTTTATGGGCACTGTACGCCCATTTGTGCGATTACCCCTCCCCCCAATTTTGCTTGTAGAAGGCTTGTTTTTACCTTCTCACTCCAAATGTCGTTTTCATTGCAGGTTTTTTCCTAGATGCCAGTCTCCCCCATCCAATCCTGATTGTCACCGCCATCTCAGAGTCGTGATCACGCCCACGCACAAGAAATGCGAACAGCCTGTTCGCAATACGTCATCTGTATGCAATAGTTGCCTGGGAGCAGAGTAAGAACACTTTCCTTATTTGGTAGCTTTGCAACACATCTTTGTCAGATGACATTTTTTACATCTTTCGGGATCAACATGCGTCCAGTCCAGCATTCCCCGCCCGTCCCGTCCGCTGGACCGCGGGCGTGACCGGGGTCTGCTGGGGCCGGGCCGGTCCCGTCCGCCGGACCGCGGGCGTGACCGGGGTCAGCTGGGCCCGGCCCGGTCCCGTCCGCCGGACCGCGGCGCGACCGGGGTCAGCTGGGGCCGGCCCGGTCCGCGCGGCTGGAGCGGCTGAGCGGCCGCTCGGCCCGGCAGGGTGTCGGGCGCGCCTCACCTCTGCCGCCTGCAGCTCCAGGTCCACCAGAGGCGTGAGCGGGGTCGGCTGGTGCGAGTAGTAGTAGGTGGCGGCGGCGGCCACGGCGGTCAGCGCCACCGCGCCGCTGGCGCCGCCTATCGGCTCCAGGTACTGGTCCATCAGCGCCACTGTGAATACCGGGCACAGTCACACGCTGTGGACACCGAAGTCCGCCCCGCCGCTAGCGCCGCCTACCGGCGTTCTCAGCGCCACCTATGGCGCCTATAAGCGCCACTCTCAAACACGGGGCGGAGGGGGGGGGGAGGGGGGTACAGCCTCACGTTCGGTTGCTCACACGCCGGTTACATACTGAACAGCACACACGTCAGTTACATGCTGAACACATCGACCAGGGACCACACCGCACACAAACGGCGGTTTGGCGTCACCCGCGCCAGCCAGCACGCACTAAGCGGTTCGTGCTTCTTCGATCGGCCCGCAGCGGGCAATGCAGTCATACGGGGGGGGGGGGGGGGGGGGCACGAGCGGACTGATCCACGCACGCGGGCCAAGATTATCGGTATAATAGCCGCGTCGTGCGTTGGTGCCAAAACCAGGAAACGCGCCGGCAGAACCCAGCCCGTAAGTATTGATGTGCTTCACCGTGATCATAACACATTTCCAAACGGTAATTCACTTTGATTGTCCCGTACCAAAACATTGCAGGACGTAGGTCGGGAACGGGGCACTGCGAAGTTCATCCCCTCTGGTGGAGAGTTTTCCTGGAACCCGAGGCCGGGTCCCACATCACGCGCCGACCTTCGTAACGCTAGAGGCCGTCTACACACGCCTAGCGCAGGTGCCTGCATCAACGGTCCTCCCCATTCCGGAACCTCTGGGCGGCTGGCTCGAGGCCTGAACGAGGACAAACCTCGTTACTAGCGCCATCGATTTCTGCCGTTCGCCGCGAGTTCACTTTCGAAGTCTGATTTGGTTGTGGCGTGCCCGGCTGCGGCCGATCTGTGCTGCGTCGAGGCCGGGTCACATCAGCCCGCCCGCCCCCTCCCCCTCCCACGACAGGCGGACCAAATGATTTGGGCGCTCGCTGTAATGAGCGCGGCAGTGGCACGCTTTACGAACGAACGAGATGGATGTGGGGATGAGGGATTGGGGGATGGGTGGGGATATGGCGCATCCCAGGGCGCCCCAGGCCCACTTCGCACATGGACATTTGCCGCACTGTCGTCCCACCAAGACTCCCTTTGCCAAGAAGCCAGGACACAAAAGGCCCGACAAAACATACGTAAAGCGGCGCCCTCAAGCCCCGATGAATGAACGATGCAAAACCCAGACAGAGAAACATCCTAAGCCCAGATAGACAGCATTCCTAGCCGGCATCGAGGAACAGTTCTAAGCCCGGGCAGAAGGCGTTCCAAGTCCATGTGGAGGGGCGTCCGCCAGTCCCAGGCGGGCCCACATCCCAAGCTTACACAGAAAGGCGCAAGCCTAGGCGGAGGGATGCCCCAGACTCAGGAAGGGTGGCACTCAATGTAATGTTAGGGGAGCGGTCCAATGCCCCGACAGAGTGGAGCACAAGCCGCTGAAAATGAACACCCTCAATCCTTTGGGAAGACGGGTCCACCAACCCTGGGTACAAAAGCACCTGCCCTCCTTCCCCCCCCCCCCCCCCCCCCAACTAAGCCTAGCAGAGGCGCTCCAGAATTCCTGTAGAGGGTCACCCATAGAACATGAAGCGGAGGAGCGCCGCAGGTCGATACGGAAGTATACGCAAGCCTACAGACGATACATGGGAGTCCATGAGCGTACCTGCAGATCCCCCCCCCCCCCCCTCTTCCCAAGTCCCAGAACAGATGTACTTTTTAACACGCCCCGGGTGGCCGGCTAGATACCTTTCGCTTGGGTGGGGGTCAATTTGAGCCCCCTCCTCCCTGAGATCTCGGGAACTAGAGAGCTAGAGACCACCAAACTTACAGGGTAATGTTGACCTGTACGTGAACCCACTTAGGTCAAATTTGGGGTTCCTGGGTCATGACCTTCGGGTCAAATAAGGTCAAACAACGTCAAATTTCAGGTTGGTCTCCAAAGTGCCCCCAGAACCTAGCTAACTGTTTCCTAAGCAAACGGTCACACGCTCAGTAAAGGTCATTGACCTTATTTCAACCTTCTGAAGGTCATGGTGACCAAAATCATACAAGACTGCTCTGAGTTTTGCATTTGAACAAGCGATAGCAATTACGCTAGGCGGTATATCTCTAAAATAAAATGTGGACCTGGGTCATTTTAGGTCAATGACCTATTATAAACCTCTAAGAAGTCCATGGCAGAATGTATAATGCGGTTCCTGCCATCAAACAATTAGAAATGAGCACCAAAAACTAACCCCACACGCAAGCCCTATAGCAGTAAAACAGGTGGTTTTGACCTTGGTCTTACCTTCATACCTGACCTTAGATCAACGTTACTTGTTCATTCAATATTGGTGCTGCCTAAGAAAGCATCTCAGAGATGGATGGCTTCGTCTAACACTTCCGTTGTTTCATCAATTGAACGATTCCCTAGAAATTGACTTCGCTGAAACCATGGCCTGAGTTTGACCGGCCATAGGATAACCGACCTTACAAGCACACCTACATTTTTCTAACCAAACGATCCCGCTATTGAATTCTCTACAACTATGCAAAATTTGGCGCGGAATGCGCCGCCCCGTTCGAAACCATTCTGGAAAAACCTCCGGGGGGGGGTCAACTTGGGCCCCCTCCACCCGGGCGCGTGTTAATCTGCACGGGGGGGGGGGGGGGGTGCGTACATGTTGAGAGATGAGCATTCCGAGCCTACGAGGCATCGTGACTTCAAGGTCTACGCGAATCCACGCTCAGACTTATCTAGGCACCCCAAACACTCGTACAGGTGCGCCCGCAGGTCTGGGTGCAGGAGTGTCCCCGAGCCTACGTGTAGGGGCGCCCTCCAATCCTAGGTGCAGGGGTGCCCCCAACTAAGTGCAGGGGCACTACAAACAAGCAGCAAATCAAATCGACAAGCATACCGAGCCGGCTAGGCCTTTCTGGTGCCTGGGCACACACGGGACATATCAACACCTAATGAAGGGTCTCGCAATGTCCAAACAACTGAGGGCGAGGTCAAGTTCAAGGTGAGGCCTGACAGCACTCCGATGAGGGACGCTTGTACATGTCTAGTGATACACACGGATACCACGGCAATGCCTCTGATAAATTGAAGGCGGGTGGAGATGTCCCCCAAAACAACGCAGAAGTATTCCACTTGTATGTGTGTCAAGGGTTCAGTGGAAGTGGATCATTACATCGTGTTTTTAAGTAGTTAGTTCACCTAACTGGACAAGGTCAAGAACGCTCTACGTTATTCGACCAGCAAACAGCGTCGATAAGCAACACCAGAATTCACCACGCAAAACTCCCCGTTCCACTCACGACAGTCTGACACAATATTCTTCTAGCTAAGTGCAAGTGCTCAAAATTCGATCAAATGGTCGCACGGTTGAGCAAATCCATTTACAGAAGCCATTGATGTCGTCATCGTTGTCGTGATCACCTGGCGTCAGAAGCTGGGTGCCGGAGACCACGCGGACGCACAAATTATCAGCCGTGCTGAGGATGTCAATCCTGGCGTACCGACATTCCAAAATGGCACATATTCGGGGCATACAGCGGGCACTTGCCGTTAGATACCACCGGGCATCCCGGCACGGTATGAGGATATCGCCGTCATAGCAGTCACCAGGTTAGTCTCCGCATTTATGTGCGGAGTATGACACTGCCTTCCCACGGGCGCACCTGTGCAGTGGAGCGACGGGGCGCTCGCCGGACGGGAAGGAGGCTGTTCGACCACACAGGGCGTACCTGTACAGTGGAGCGACGGGACGCTCGCCGGGCGGGAAGGAGGCTGTTCGACCACACAGGGCGTACCTGTACAGTAGAGCGACGGGACGCTCCCGGGTGGGAAGGAGGCTCTTCCACCACAGGGCGCACATGCACAGTGGAGCGACAGGACGCTCGCCAGGCGGGAAGGAGGCTGTTCGACCACACAGGGCGCACCTGCACAGTGGAGCGACGGGACGCCCGCCGGGCGGGAAGGAGGCTGTTCGACCACACAGGGCGCACCTGTACAGTGGAGCGACGGGACGCCCGCCGGACGGGAAGGAGGCTGTTCGACCACACAGGGCGCACCTGTACAGTGGAGCGACGGGACGCTCCCGGGTGGGAAGGAGGCTCTTCCACCACACACTGACCCCCGTCCACGGCCTCCCACAGGCCGACGCACACCGGAAGGACCGAGAGAACGCGTCGTATCCGTCCCACGCCCGCCGCAGCGACCGCACTCCGCAGCTGTGGCTGCGTCTGGCCCGCTGACCGGGCGGCTTGCGGTCATCCGTCGCCGCTGACCGGCGCGGCCGGGTGCCGTACCGGCCTGCCCGGTCGACACCGCGACCGCAGCCTAACCGGCTCCGCTGCCGCCGCTGCCGGAGCCGGTCAGACCGCCCGCCCGGGCCGGCGATCGCGCAGACGGGTCGCCGCCGCCCGCCGCCGGCCCACCGAAACACGGCCGGGCGCACGTGCACGACTGGCGGCGCCCCCTAGCGGAGGCTCGCCGGCGACCATCGTCTGGCGGCGTTTACGACGCCGCGGCCAAACCAGGCATGTTAAGTTACATTCCGGGCTCTGACAGATCTGAATGGCGAAGAAACAGATCCGAGCTGAAGCAGTACGCCCTACTTGCCTTAGCATGTCAACTGCTGTTCCGACACGGCCCGCACGATCTGCACGCCTTTCTGCGCACGCTCTATGGCACCGATCCAGCGCTGATGTCCAGCTAGTCCGTGCCCAGTCAGGCGGCCCAGTCGGCCAGTTCGTGACATGGCAGCGATCCAGTCCTGAACCCCAGTCATTCGGTGCCTGCATCGACTGTGAGGGATGCAAACGTCACAGGCTCCCACCGGGACGTGGTCTCTATTTTGGGCACCGACACGTGCAGGTGTATTTGGCGTTGAGCTGCTGCTGTTCCCTTCCGCTTTATGTACTATGGCAGATACTGAAATTACAATATTGTATGCCCAAGCC